ATTCGCCCACGAAACGTGTGTTCCCTAATTTCTCAATAGCCACATCTGTGCTGACCAATCCAACCTCTTCTAATACTTAATATAATTGATCTGATGTCTATGATGTGCTCGACCAAATTCTATTCTTCTTCATTACAGGACCATGAGTCACTGCTGGCCAGGTGGCAGAACAAGAACACAGAGAGCGTGATTGAACTTCACAACAAGACGCCTGTGTGGAACGATGACACACAATCGTATGTGCTCAACTTCCACGGCAGAGTCACTCAGGCCTCCGTCAAGAATTTCCAAATCATTCACGACAACGACCGTGAGTTACAAACTGTACAATTAAAACAAAATGAACAGATCCAGATCCATGTTTTGTACATTTGCCGTGTTTATTTTATGATGTCTCTTATTAAGTCTTTGTCTTTGAATTGAAACAAACAGGGTAGAATGAATTATGTGACTGGCAGTTGGTTGGTTGGAGCCAGTGTTTGGTTGATGTGTTAGAAGCAGGGAAAATGGGCAGCATGAGGATTTGAGTGGCTTTGACAAGGGCCAAATTGTGATGGCTAGACGACTGGGTCAGAGCATCTCTAAACTGCAGCTCTGATAGAAAGGTGTCAGAACACACAGTGCATCACAAAGACGGTGAAGATAAATAAAGCATAGTATACTAGAAAAGAGTTGTGTGATACATTTTGATTAGGGAAGGTGGGTAAAAATGCACATTCATAACTCTAATGCAATCACCCTGAAGTTATTCATTATAGATGAATTATTTGTTTCACAATAACACATTTATTATTTGATACTGAATGCTTTAGGTCTCCATAATTAAGGTCATAATATTGTTTCAAAGCAGCTTGTCCAAAATCTGTTTTCCTGGTTCTTCTCCTCTGCAGCCGATTACATTGTGATGCAGTTTGGTCGCGTGGCAGAGGATGTGTTCACCATGGACTATAACTACCCAATGTGTGCCCTGCAAGCCTTTGCCATCGCGCTTTCCAGCTTTGACAGCAAGTTGGCCTGTGAATAGATCCCAGCCTGAAGTTCAGTGGAGAACTGGTCCACCTGTCCTCTCAACAAGGGCTGTTAATGTATCTCTGGGGCTGGTTTGAGATCTCCAAATCACCCAGTACCTTGGAAGTCCTGCATATTCCAAAATGATTCATGGGCCTCAAGTTTTGTGTGTTTGTATGTGTGTTGGGGTGGTTGGGACCTCAGGATGGTCTTGGTCAGTGGAAGAGAACAAGCACAAAGAGTAACCCACTTTCAAAATCAAATTCATCTGTTTTGATAACTATAGTCCTTTTGTACTGTACTGGCATTATAAAAACAAACACTGTTCCTTTATGTTGTAGTTAGAGAAATTTAACATTTCTTTATCTGTAAATTATAACTAACAATTACACATCTGTAAGTTTTAAAAGTTGACTGGATTTTATGTAATCTGCCACACAAAAAACACAATGTCACACTCTTCCTCAAGCATGAATACTGCTTATATAGTTACTGAATTTAAAACAACATGCACGTCACAATATATTTATTTTGTTATTTATGTATTTATTACATGTTCATTTTGTTTTCTGTTACAATTTCAGCAGTATCGGCTCCAAGGAGATGCAAGCACATGAATTAGCATCACAAGAAGGAATCATCTCTTGTATCCACACAAAACAATTAGCTACTTTTGGACATGAACAGGGCAAAGGCATGTTACACTGTGCTGTACACCATATACAATATTGTGTCACAGTGTCATCATATATGTGAATGTATAGGATGATGGTGCACTTTACTTTGAAGTCTGTAGTGGATGAGATATAGCTGTACATACTTTATTGTGCCTTTGAGGACTAATTCCAGTGTTACGCTTTGGCCATAAAATGAGCTGAGCTTGAATTGGTCTTTGCTATTCTTGCTGTCTTCACATGCATTCGAGATATTTCTCTGTAGCTACTTTGAATTCAGTTGTCTAATGAAGATTTAGTTTAGACTGATTAAATAGCTGGAGTTTAAAAGCCTCCAATAGATAATAATATGTGCACATCATTGGACATTATTTCAGTGATTGTCCAGATATCTTTAAATTCCATTTAGGGCCTACAACAGATTACACTAAAGAGGTGAATTTATTTACATTGTACTGTAAATCAGGCATAATATCCAAAGCACTCAGGCTTAAGGTTGTGCTCATATCTTCTGATGTCTCCTATCTGGAAAAAAATAAACTAAACAGATTGACTTACTGCCAACAAACACACAGTAACAGTGTGAATCTGCCAGAGCTTCAACACTTAGCACATATTTCATCTCCTGCTCTTTACATCTTTGATTAATTTCATGCTCCACTGAGGTGGAGTTTGGTACATTCCTGGCTGTATGTTTCTATATCACGTGGTTTATTGCTGTTCACATTTTTACTCAAAATATGTTTCCTCTTGCTCCTCATGGGGCAATATCCTTTCTCAAATATATGATAGTATTTTGTATTTTATGACCTTTAAAAAATGATGAATGAAGGCAAAGAACAATCTCTGATACCGCTATTGTTACTGTGGGTTATGAGGAAATCTTTATCAAATGTGCTATTCTTGTACTCAATTGTGTTCTAACTATTTTAAATTTCTATTTTAAAATTGTTGATACTCTTGCTGTAAAGTCTGCTTTTCATACATGTGTCCAGGAACCAAAGGTTCTTTCACTTTATGTTTTTAGTGCTCTTGTTGTAATGTACAATTTACTGTGGTGGTCTAGACACAGTCCTTTGATCATGGAAAAAAAATAAAACTTCAGTAAGTCAAAATATGTGTTTTTTTCTACTAAAGCTACTGTACACTCTTTTGAATTACATATTCATGAAGTGGCTGCACTTGAATGAAACCGTTTATTCCTCTTTTTGGTCTCCGTCACTTGTTGTTATAAGCTATACTTGTCCATGATCCATGAAAGAAGAAGAAGAACATAAAACACACACAGAAATACTGTATTTGAAGTTGAGAAGTAATGTGTCTTTATTGTGTGAATCTGGTCTTTTCTATAACAATGTTGCAAGACAAAAAAAGGTTGTATTGCTATTAAAATACAATACAGTGGAGTAATTGGCTTGCCTACAACCTTTCCTACTCGCTAATACTTTAGGCGTGGCAGTGTGACATATGAACAGGATCCATTGTTTAGTACTACACTATACTCACAAACCAGTCTCTAAACACTTTCAATGCTCTCCGATCGTCTGGTCAGAATAGTACTATACTGGTGCGCTCAACACAAAACAGTTCTAATATTGCAGAGATCTGGGTGTGGGATAGTTATCAAGCATTGGGAACATATGTTAAACTGGTTGAATCTGCATTTTTATTGATTTTTTTGTGTCTTCTCTTTCTTTCCTGTGCTGATCTTTGTATAATCAGAGAGAACTGTGACCATGAGGGTTGCTGCTTGAATTTACTATTACTGTACATCCAATCATCTTTATTCCTCGAGGACTAAGATTCCGCTTCAGACTCAGTTGTATGGATATCACCTTTTTTATGTCTCTCCTTGATTATTCCAACTTGGTGTGTTTGTCTGTTTGTGTAGTCTTAGACATTTTTACACTAACACAAACACAGTCTGCTCATGTTCAAAAATCAATGTCAACAGTGTCTCATAAAAACAGATGTCAAGGACTTTAAAACAGCTGTAACCATAAACCTTTAAACTAAAGCGTGCTATATACTGCACAACAGGATATACAGTTAAAAAATATAGAGTTCAGTTAGTCCTAGGCCCCGTGAGGAGGGATCAAGTGCAGGAAACGGAATTCCCTACAGGGTTTAATAAAGTATAACTTAATCACATCAATCACTCGAGGCAGCAATGCGAGTTAATGACTTAATGTTGGCAGGACACCTGAAGTTGAAGCTGTGCTGCTGTGGCAGCTGAGAGCTATTTTACTGCATCCTTCCCACCTTACTGCACTGATTTGCATTTATAAATGTTTATGCTTTGCTCTGCTACCAATTTAAAAAAGCCTCCTCCACCACAGCCTCCACCTGCTTTGCTTCTACTCTGTTAGTGTGCATCCTGGAGGGTTCTTATTTCTATGACAATTGTTGCGGGGTGGGGGGGGGGGGGGGGGGGCAA